CTCGGATTCCCTAATCTTGACCTTAGGTTTGGTCCTAGGCTCGGAAGGCCTAACCGCAGAACCCCGTGTGACAAGGTCCTCAAGCGGCCGTTCGTCCTCGGACTCGGGAGCGAGGGCAGGAATCGCGGTACGCTTAGAGAGATTGAACCCGTAACTCCGAAGCTTAGCAATCTCATTGCTCTGAAGCTTGGGGACAGCTCGATTGACGTACGCGGTAATGCTCCATCTATCCCCTTTCCAAGGAAGAACACAATGGAAACGTTTGGGATCGAACTTCACAAGTTTGTTGTGGGAGATACGTTTCTTGCCATACAAAGTCTTCAACCCGACCTTCTGAGTAATGACATTGTGCTCTCCCTTTCGGGCAGCGGGATCGTGAACCCAGAGTTCACCGCCCTCGAAGCTGCCGAGACTGATAGTGAAGTTGGTGGAATCTTTCATGTTGTGAGCATCGACGAACCATGATTAATGCAAACCGATGAGCTATCTCCCGTCATCCCATGGTTCTGGAGGAACGCATTGATATATCGGGTAGAGTGGGCATACTTCTGAGTTCTGTTCGTAATGCCCTGGACACCACCGTGAGCGAAAGCGCCAAGCACAAGATACTCAACGTTTCCGTCGGTGCCACCTTTGCGACTCGTAATCGACTTACGGTTGCTCTTGGAAGGCTTGCAGTTCATAGATTGCAGTAGCTTCAAACAAGACTTACACTGGAAGTCGAGGTTCTCAAGTAACTCTTTTGCAATTCTTTCTGAATCCTCAATACCCTTGCAGGAAGGCTGGGCTCTGGACACGGTCGTGCAGGAAGCGCGACGTTTTCCTTCCAGGACTTCAGGTAGGGAACATTGTCCTTCACATCGAGGCAAACCTTGTTCCCGTTGTGGTCCCTGAAGTAGGGTCTACAATTAGCTCTCCAGATACAGTCAAACCCTTCCTCTATGCACTTCTGTCCAACCGAGAGAACGGATGGGGAATCGGGAAGAACATATGGTTCAGCGGTCGTACTGATCGAAGGAATCCTAACCTTGCATTGTTTGTCAGCATAGTTAGGTCCGCTGGCGGTAATCATGTTGATAGGCCGATCCGACAAGAAATCCTTTACTTCACCGAGAACGTTCTTCGAAATCAAATCCTGGGCACTGCCGGTGTCGGCAATCCATTCCATGTCAATCACAGGATCTGACCTGCTACCCTTTGCCGGGCATCCGACAGATATGCCGGGCGCAATGCAGTGGGCACAACCGAACTCAGTCTTACACATGAACTTACATGCAGGATTCGTACCTTGATTCATCCCTTCAACGGTTGACCTCAGCATCTTAGCTGTAGCCAAAGCATCCCGAACATCCTGCCCATCAGGTTTGGGCTTATAGTTTATAGTTAACAGGAAATTCTTCACTGAAAATCCTCGGCTCGATTTCAACCTCACGCCACTTGGAAGACTCAGGAGGCGTGGGAATGTAGTGGTACTCAGGAGCATTTGAGAATCGCACAGATGCCAGAGCTACGTGAGCGGTACTTGCACACGAGTCAATATAGTTCGGCATTTCCTTCCGGAAAGCGTGTGCATCGGCTTGGGACGCCGAACCTGCGACAAGTGCACCTAAGAGGCAGACGGCGGCAGGAAGCGAAGTCTTAGGTTTCCGCCCCCCCGAGCCCTTGCTGTTCCCAGAGCCTTTGCTCCCCTTGGAGCCTCCACTACCCTTGGAACTTTTAGAGCTGGAACGAGACTTCTTCCTATGCTTCTTTTCTTCTTCTGTTTCTTATTCTTCTTTTCGCCGCTAGACTCTCTACCGCTACCAGTGGCAGGAGCAGAAGGCTGGCCTTTATGAATGAAACGGCATTTGTCACCTTTGTTGCACTTGCCGTGCTTGAAAAACTTGCACTCAGCATTGATTTTTCCGGGAGATGGGCTCCCCCTTCCGGAGGGCGACTTGCCTCGGCCTTTACCTTTGCTCGGGGTCCTACCACGTGGCTTCTCGGGCATCTGATGTTTGTAGGAACATTTTTCTTTGCTGCACGAACCATTCCGAACGAAGTCGATGCAGAAGCCTTTGGGCACACGCTTTAGCGGTGCGGGTGCTGATGGCATACCTGCTGCGGCTTGCCTTGCAATCCGTTCCCGGTTGCGCTCAAGCCTCTTGATCTTGATGACTCGGTTCACGGCCTCGTACAGGTATTCATAGGATTTCTCCTTTGTGCCGTCTACTGCCCTTTCATAAATGGCAATGTCGTGGGCTAAAAGCTTAGCCTTCTTGACTTGTCTGTGAAACAGAGGTTGCAAAACATCGTCAGCAGGGGTTTTCTTCATGCCTGAGAGTACCGTATCCCAGTTACGCACGAATTGAACAAGGTTCTCGTTAAGCATGACGACATTAAGCAGATCCTCCATGTCGTACACGGATACATGGAGTGCGTTGGTCGACAAATAAGCATTGAGCTTATGCAGGATTTGACGCCCACGTACTAACCGTCCCTCATGTCCTTCCCTCTCCTTAAAGGTGTCAATCTGGCGAGCAAAATCACCTTCCAGAATGTTCGTGATTGCGGAGAGAATCTTCGCATCAAGCGTTGTGAATCCGTTAGGATCACGAAGGGACTCTTCGGTGGTATCATCCTTCCAAACTTCGCCGAGCCACTCGAAAGCCTCATCAGGACGATCCGAGGCAGCAACAACAGCCTCGCGGGCGCGAAGCCTCCAGTTGCGATAGTTCTCAGGCTGAGGGAACTTCGGGAACACAATCTTCTCGGCTTCTTTGACCTTGGGTCTTCCCCTAGTAGCCTCATTTTCCTCTTCGTCATCCTTATCCTTCTTGGACTTAGTGACTTTCTTAAGCATCTTCAGGAGATCCTTCTTTGATAGGGCAATAGAGTACGATGATGATGAATCAGATGAGTCTCTTTTCTTTTTATTCTTCTTGTCCTTTTTCTTTTTCTTCTTCTTTCGGGAATCGTCATCGGACTCAGGTCCTTCGCCGTCGCGTTCGGGAGGCGAGTCATCTCCACCTCCACCTGGCGGGCCACCACCACCTACCTTGTTCAAACCCGGAGGGGTGTGAATAGGGTGTTCCACAGGTGACTGTGTTCCAACGATTGTTGGTGAGTAGGCCGTAGCTTTCGCCAGGCGATCACGAAGCTCCGCATTGGTACGTTCAAGCTTCGTCATCGACTCAGATTGTTCACGGTGAACTTGCATGAATGCGCCCATCTCAGACTTGAGCTGGTTAAGTTCGCCATTCATAGCTGCAACGGTGTCTTGACTGGCCCGGCTCCGATTAGCCAGCTCTCGCTCAGCTTGAGCTACCACGTCTGAGACTGTGACCTCAGCGTGGCGAAGCTTGATTTTGTAATCCATAGCTTCTCGTCGCATCTGCGACAACTCATCGTTGTGTTTGTTAGCCATGCTTTCGCCGGCTGCTCGAAGCATCTCTTCTTGCTGTTGCAGACGATTCTCCGCTTGAGCAAACTCCAACCTAAGTTGGGCGGCACCTGATAACGCCTGTGCATGAAGCTGATTGAACTGCTCCCTGTGCAAATTGCTTGCTTCCGCCATGATCATTCGGTGGCGGGCTTCAGCTTCAGCTGCAACTGCTGGTCCAGTGTCCGTTTGTTGCACATGGACATGTTGCTGAAGGGTCGGTGCGAGGACATTTTGTTGGTAGTAGTTCGAAATGTTTCTGATCTCGCTGGGTGAATACTGGGTCATATTGTATTGTTGTGGCGATCCCGCCAGGGATGCTTGTGGATGCGCTGGGCTTGACACGTAATCCCATTCTGACACCACACCTGGTGCACCTCTACGGGGATCTGATTGGCCCATCACGGCCAAGGCCTTTGCCGTCAGAGGAACAACTTGGCCACCCTCTCGGGTACCGGGGACAACCTGATCCGTGCCATCGTCTTGGACGGACATGGCAGGAAGAGAATTGATTTCCTCGGTATCGGCGCGAGCCGCGGAAATATCTATCGCGGGAATACCTGCAGGATTTACGGGAGCATCCATCGCGATCTACGAACGAAGTGAGACCTACGGCTGATAACCTATGTTTACAGGCAGAACAGCCAGAATGCAGACGCATATTTTCTTGAGCCAATGAACGACGGTAGGTACGGTCGACTAGCTACATCTTCCACAAAATACAGGTTTACGTCCGTAGGGTTTAGGGTTTAGGGGTTCGGGATTAGGGGTTTAGGGTTTAGGGGTTCGGAGTTCGGGGTTAGGGTTTCGGGTTTAGGGGTTCGGGGTTCGGGGTTTAGGGGTTGAGGGTTTTAGGGTTTAGGGCCGTAGGGCTCTTGGGTTTGAGGGTTTTTCTGCTTTGGGAATGTATGGGTTTATGGACGTAGGGCTCTTGTGGATTAGGGTTGAGGCTCAAAGAGCTCTTGTGATAGGGTTTAGGCGGTATACGGTATAAGTATACGGTGTAGGGTTTGTCAAGGGATTTTGGGCTGAGGGTACAGGGATCTTGTTGTTTTTGGGAAAAGCGTAAAGGTCTAGGGTTTGGAGTATAGAGATTGCGGATCTAGGTCTGGTTTGGGAGTTGGGCACCGACGTGGGAAGCACCGAAGTCCAGCAGAAGGCAACTGAGGTCTCTGGTTTTGGGAGTCGCAATACACAAAACCTACAGCTAGGCATCAAATCCTTATTAGGGTTTAGGGTTTATGGTTTAGGGTTTAGGGTTTGGTTTAGGGTTTAGGGTTTAGGGTCTTACCCTCAACCATCCTAAGCAAAGCCTTGAATCCCTAAATTTAGGGTTTAGGGCCCTAGCTCAAGACAGCCTTAGATGCTAACCTCAGAACCCAGGTCTCTTCAAACTTCCTCCCCACAAGGAGGTTTCTGAAAATTCGGGGTCCTCCAAGACAGGAGGAGTCCATAATATCAGACTATGCTGAACTATACTTCCATTACGAGGAGCCCTCCGGAATAGTATTATTGGTACCCTATTCCACTATGGTTCCCTGAGGTTCTGAAACTCCTACGTGCAACCCGGAGGAGAGGCCTGCTGGAAGGTTGGTGATCAACAGCTTGGTTCCGTCCTGGCTTCAGTGATAGGCTTCTTTTTGTCGGAAAGGTGTCCTAGTTGCTGAGTTCACAGCCCCCAAAAGTGTACACTTTTGGTTCTATAGTGGCAATCTTATCCCCAAAACGTTTAAAGTGCATCCACTTAGCTACTAAGGTGTTAATGGCCTGGGGTTGTGAGTCCCTTTATATACTTGAACCCTGAGAGTTCAACCCGAAACTGCAAACTCCAACCCTAAACCAGACCCTACCTAAAACTGTTGTTCCTTTTTTTGGTTAACCAAAATCTTTATTATAGGGTCCTGAGTCCTAACCATAGACTTGGTTAACCAAAAAAAGGAACTACAAGGGAGACTGTAGGTAAGACCTTGCATAGCTTTCGGGTGGAAGGCTTTCGAAGTTAGCGCTGCAGGGTCAGAGTCTGGCAAAGAAGTCACCGCAGCAAGGACAAAGAAGCTGTATGTGCGCGAGAGAATCCTAGTTCAGGGCAATGCCATAAGCTTCTTCGGACTTAAAGATATATTTAACCTTTAGGATTCAGTGGTTTAGGGTTTCCTTGTTGGTTTGAGTCTCCTTAGTATTCCCAACGGTCCTTCGCGAAAAAAGACTGCCAGAACAAGCCCCCACATGCTTGGGGATAAGTTCCAGCAACAACTAGGACGACTGCTACAGTCGGCTTTGCTACCGTCACTGCATCAGGCCTGGCTGAGAATGCCCATCATGTCCGAAACCAAGATCGCCGCACCCTACAGTAGAAGCCAGAAAGTTGGAATATCATTATCGTAACCCCTTTAAAGTAAAATATAGGGGATCCTGCCATTATTCCATATTCCAACTTTCTGGAGTTCCCTTTTAAGCCCTAAACCCCCAAGAGCCCCTGCAAAGCCCAAATCCTAACCCTCAGCCCTCAACAACCCCGACTCCCTACCCCCCTAAACCCTGGATCCTAAAGCTCTTGACTGGACTTTGAAGTGAGCAAGGAGAAAAAAGTATAGACTTCTATTTCAGAATGGTTCCTTTAAGGAACAGGTACCAAAAAAAGTATTCAAGTATGGTACTCCAAACCCAGGTTGATGTCATGTGCAGTGCCGCGCGCTCGGCCCTTGGAGCTTCAAAGCCAAGAGCCCCAACTTCCACAAACCCGAATCCTAAGAGGGTTTTTTTAAAGTTGAACTGCACCCTTTCTCCGAAAAAAGCGCTGGCATTTTTGCCCTCAACTGGGTGGAACATAAGAGGGTTTAGGGTTTCAGGGTGTTTGGGGTTTGTTGAAACACTTAGGGTCAAGCTTGAGGGTTCGCATTCAGGGTTCAGGGGCCTCTTAGCCTGAATCTGAATTCCTACACTCTATCTTCCAGGCGGTAGAAGCCTGAATCCTACGGTTGATGATATAAATCCTGCATTACCCATATAATAAGGAATATACCATGTTTCCCATAGTTTAGGGTCCTGAATGTAATGCAGGATTTATATCATCAACCGTACTCTAGAATCCGAAGGCCTTCCCCCATGCCTTTGAACAATCCACTGGTTCTGTTGACCCATGCGACAGGGTTTAGGATTTAGGGTTTGGTAAAGGATGTTTGGGGTTACCCTACGTAACGAGTTCATGCACGTGCTTAGTATATGGTTTGACCTTAAAGACGTTGCAGACACTTTGGGGTCACCGTGAACCTGGGCATCTGGACAGCTTAATTATGTATAGTGCACGGGCAGCAATGGAACATCGACCCCCCGACCATCGAATTATTTGATTTATGAGTTTGAAAAGTGGTAGGTCCTGGTACAACATGTCGAGATCGACTCCAATCGTTGACCTCGCAGATACAAGTTGCAACAGCAAGCTGACCCTTGTAACGGCTGAACCCCACCTGATTCTAAGACAACAACTGGGGAGATTTATGGTGGCCATCCCCGACGCTGGAAAATTGGGCACGACGACAAGCATGACACTAGGAACCTTCAACCAGGAATCACAAGGGAGCCATCATCATCATCGTCGTCATCACCATCACCATCACCACCATCATCATCGTCATCGTCATCATCATCATCATGAGTGTCGTTATGATGCTAAGTCCAGTTTTCCTCTTCCTGCTCACCATCATTGGTTTGCGTGTCCTCTTCCGTAGTCACACCACCAGAATGCAAAACAACACCGCTACCCTCCTCAAACTCAAAACCCAAGGGTCTGAGCGGGAGGAGGAACCATTCAAGCAATTCTATAGCACTACGGTTGATGATATAAATCCTGCATGACCTTAATGACCCTAGACTATGGGAATTATGGTACATTCCTTATTATGGGTAATGCAGGATTTTGTCCATCAGCCGTATAATGCACTATAACTTGAGGGTTCCATGGCGGATTGATGCATAGGGTTCTCAAGCATTTGGGGGTTGTTGTGAGTTTTTGGTACCAGCAAAATCCGACCCGTCCCAGGCCCTCCTGGCCCATTTTCCCGAGCTTCGAACAGTCATTACCATCTAAGGTCTACCAAAACCGTAAAACAGGCCTTAGCGCCCTAAAGCCAGCCATTTGGGCTACTGCCCCTGCGTTGCCGTCACACACCGCCTGCAAGCGTGTGAGGGCCTTCTATAGCCGAGTCTAGCCCCCGAGGCCATGCATTTTCTTTCGTCAAGGAATACCCCTGACTTTTCACTAAGTTGACATCTTCGCTCAGACTGGTGAGGTTCTGCCTCACCATCTGTTCTTGTCGCTCCAGCATGGGCTTAGCCAGCTCAGTGATGGCTTTGGCCGGGTCGACAGTCTCCAATGGCTGACAGCATTCCGTGCATTCGCTCGAAGCTTCTCTCAGTAGAGGATACAAACACCTCGATCTTGGCGATGTTCTTCTTGCGATTGCCCCTGCGTGTCAGGAGCGCGGCTGTGCCTTGGGCACACCGGGGGGGGTGGCAAGCCTCAGTATTCTCGAGCTTGAAAACATCAACTTGAACCTCCCAAACCCTGACATTTACCGTTGCATTAGCTTGCACCCTAGTCGCCCTAATCATCGAAACCTCAACATTCAACTACTAAGCCCTTTGATAACACCGTAGAAATCAATTAGAAAGGTCCTTACACCAAAACATGAGGCTACCTCCGCCAAAAACAATTAAAAAACCTGAGGTTCTCTAGCTCTAAGCCTGAATAGTTACCCTTAGACCCCAAAAACCTACGCCCTAAAGCCCACAGGCAAGATGAACCCTACACCTCCCGAAACCTAAACCCACAAGCTGGAAAAAACCGTTTACTAAACCACTCCAAGAAACCCGTAAAGCATCCAACGCCCCAAAGCACCTGAAAAGATAACCGAAAGCCCTTGAACTGACCGCATTGGATCCTGGAAAGCCCTAGAAACCACAGCCCTACAGGGCCTAAACCCCAAATCCCAAACTCTGGGCCCCAAAACCCCACACCCTAAACCCCAAACCCTGAACCCCAAACCCTGAACCCCAAACCCTAAACCCCCAAACCCCAAACCCTAAACCCCAAACCCTAAACCCCAAACCCTAAATCCCCGAACCCTAAACGCCAAACCCTAAACCCCTTAACCCCCATACCCTATAAACCCTGAACCCTTAAACCCCTAAACCCTAAAACCCCATAAACCCCTAAAGCCCTAAACCCCTAACCCCCTAAAGCCCAAACCCCTAACCCCCTAAACCCTAAACCTAAACCCCATAAACCCCTAAACCCTTCTCGGCTTCAGGGCCCCTGAAAGTCGCCGCCATCCATGGCAAGGGCTTCGCGAGCCTTTGCCACTGTAGAGTTTAGGGTTGAAGGGAGGGCTTAGGGTTTAGGGGTTTAGGGGTGAAGGGGTTTAGGGGGTTTAGGGTTTAGGGTTTAGGATTTAGGGTCTAGAGTTTAGGGGTTTTTATGGTCTAGGGGTTGAGGGGTTTAGTGTTTAGGGTTTAGGGTTTAAGGGAGGTTTCTCTTAGGGCTTTCAGGGTTCAGGGTTGAAGGGAGGTTTTGTTCCAGTGCTCTTGGGGGTATGGATGGCTTAGGGCTCTTAGGGGTTAGGTTCTGAGGCTCTAGGGTTTGGGTTTACAGGGAACTCCAGAAAGTTGGAATATGGTTTCATGGTAGGATACCCTATAATTTGCCATAGAAGGGTTAGGATAATCATATTCCAACTTTCTGGCTTTTACCTTAAGGTTCTTAGGTTTAGGGTTTAGAGCTCTTAATTGGGCTGCGGGTTTAGAGTCCGCAGGTTTCTCGTAGCCTTAGGGCTCAGGGTTCTCGTATTTTAGGGCTTGGGGCTCTTGGGTTTTATTGTTTAGGGCTCTTCGGGCTTAAGCTGCAAGGTTTGTAAGGTTCAGAATGCAAGTTTACTTTAGGGAGACAAGGTTGTGCCATGATCGGGGTGGGTGCTGCAACTACTGAAATTTCACTTGACTTAGGACCCTAAACCCTAAACCCTAAACGGCCTACGGTTGAACCGGAGCTTGAGAGGAAAGAGATTGAACAACGTTTCGGCTCCTTGGTTTAACGTCGGTTCCAGCGCTGTTAGCTTTTGGTGTATGCTGTCTTGTGGGACATTAGCATAGCGTGGTGCGGGCTGCACGTTCTAGGGCTCAACATGGTTATAAGTTATATGCCCTGAACACCAAAACCCCCAAACCCTTAATTACCCCTAAACCTTAACCGAACTGAGGTGGCTTTGGCTTTTACCGGTGCTTTGGGTGCTGGACCATGGTGTGGGGGTTGCGGTTATGCTGTCGAGGGGACATGCTTTCAATCGTTAAGGTTTCGGACTTGGGTTGTAGCTTAAGGGAAGTCAGGCTTAAGGTTCAGGGTTCTAGGATACCCAGTAACCTAAGAATAAAAAGGCCTCTCTTTTTGGTATTGGGTAACTTTATAAGGAACCTAGGACTACAAAAAGGGAATAAGGGTACTACTGGGCATCCTAGGGTTTAATTTAGGGTTTACAGTACCTACTACTTCAAGCCTCAACGTCCACACTGCAGCGTCACCTGCCTCGAACTCCTCCTGCGAGGACAGCCTCTGCGACGACAAGGGGTTCGACGGGAGCTGTGATGAGGGCCGTGATGACGAGGGCTGCGGCGAGCGCAGAGGCGTCCTGGACCGCCTCAGATTCTGTTTTAAGATATTCGCCGACCCCTTCGCGGCGAGAGCTCGCTTGCATGGCTCACATATGGGAGTTTCCGAAAATAGGGGACCCTAATATAGTACCCTTTATAGTAGGATCCTTATTATAAGGATCCCAAAATATGGTACCCCTATTTTCGGAAACTCCCATATTGTCACCTCGGCGATCGCCCGCACGGAGGACCCCAAGAGGCCTCACCGTAGCGACTTTAAAGGGTTTAGGGTTTAGGGTTTCGGGTTCCGCGGCATTCCGCAAAGAGCCCTTTGCATTGCCGGTGAGGTCTTGGGTGCAAAGCTATGCATCAGGGCTTGTAGCCAGAAGCGCCAGCAGAAGTCGGGGGTTTAGGGTTCCGGGTTTAGTTCAGGGTTCATGGCTGCGAAGATCTTGCCAATACTTGTTGGGCCCCGGCGCTTGGGAAAGGGATTACAGTTTTGGTAGGCGCCTGGCATCATGACAAAAGCTCCCAGACACTAGCTTAGACACTTTGTGAGTGAGAAACGAAGATCTCCAATAATTGGAAAAAGAAGAGCAACGTACTCCGAACCCCTCAGACCTCCATACGGCTCATATGTGCTAGGCGCTCGATTCCCGAACAAAAAGTTGCCATCGCATGCCTCGTCGGCATTTTCGAAGCGTATCTGGCCCAAGTCGTTTCGACGTGACGGCTTCAGGATCAAGGGTCAACCACTGTCTGGTGCTTAGCAGGGAGTGGGGGAATGGATCCCTCTAGTAGTCCCTATATAATCCCAAACAATAGTCTCCATAATCCACTCCCCAGCTTCATTCCCCCATTCCCTCCTAAGCACCAGGGAGAATATGCAAGCCCAACGAAATCAAGATAAGATTTGGAGATGCATTTCCCGAATTATACTAAAAATTACTAAACGAAACCTACTTACTCCGAAGTACTGAGGCTCCCCTGCTAGAGGGGGTTACGGTTTGGGGCTTTGGGCGTTCTTGGGCCTCGGCTTAAGATGTGTTTGGGGTTCAGAGTGCAAGGTTTACGGGTGCCACGGTTAATGATATACATCCTGCTAACCTTGAGGACCCTAAACTATGGGAATTGTGTTGCATGAATTATACCATCAGCCGCAGTGGTAGAGGGCTGACATTTTCGATGCTCAGTGAGGTTGGCTGTTGGCTTGAACCATGCTATGCGGCTTTTGATGGATGGGTTTGCGACGTTGGGCTCAACCCCCATACAGCTGCAGTGCAAGATACCCAAGACCTGACCCTACTACCCTGCCTGCCTCACCCTTTCCTATCCTGCCCGACGCTACCCTGAACTTCCTGCCCTTCCCTGCTCGCCCCAACCCTACCTTGCGCACTGCAATGGTCACACTATATGTAAGGTGCTATGACGATTTTGCCTTAACAGTGCTTTTAAGGCCGGAACCCTAAACCGTAAACCCTAACCCCTAACCCCTAAACCCTAAACCCCTAAACCCTAAACCCTAACCCCTAAACCCTAAACCACGCCGTTTCAAGGAGAGTTGCTTCAAAGTTTGGTCTAGTCCTTTATCGAGGCGGGGTTGGAGCCGCTGCCACTCAGCCACTTTGCAGTAACTCTCGATCATAGTCTAGACCTGACAGTAACCTGGGAATAAAAAGGGTGCCCTTTTTGGCGTATAGGGGGTTATAAGGGAACCTGAACCCTTAAAAAGGGAAAAAGGGCTCTTACTCTAGGTCCTAGTAGTAACCCCGGTACTCATCCCTCTCTGTATATTACAGTACATTGGGGTTTAGTTTGGGGTTTAGGGGTTTCAGACATCTTTGTCTGCAGATGACAGTATTTGAGTAGGCTTTAGGGTTTAGGGTTATCCTTGTCTGTATATTAACCCATCGCTTCGTCATCCTTACAACTTCCTTAAAGCAACCCGCATGAAATTAGTAACCCTTGTGACTAATGATGTTAAAGACACTGCACCCCCATCCGCCATGCTTACCTTTGGCTAGTAGGGAATGGAAGAATGGTAGCAATAGTAGTTGTAATTGTACCCCATTCCTTCATTCCCTACTAACCCAAGGTTGGCCTGCTAGTCCCTGAAGTTCGAAGGCCAAAGATGTCCACTAAGCCCAAAAACCCCGATCCCCCAAACCCAAAAACCCGAAAACCCTCAATACGCTGCACTCGAAAACTCTGAACTGAAAACCCTAAGCCCAAAAAACCGGGCCTCTCCGACCGTTCCGGTGCCTGCGATTTGGTTTCTGGGTCAAGATCGCGAGTGTAATGCTAAGGGCCTACCTTGGGACTCGAAAACCAACTGTTTTAAGGGTTCTACCCTGTAATTACAGTAAGGGGTCATAACCTACTATTTCGAAGGGTTTGTGGATACAGGCAGGGTTTGGTATGGTGCAGTGATAGGGCTTAGATTCCTTGTTTCTGCTCGGATTCTAGTCTTTGCTTTCGGATGTCTGATACGGACGTAATGAGGCTTGGGGAAGAGTCTTCATTCAGCATGCATGCATCAGCATGCGTAAAGAAACGCCAAACACTGACACTAAACCTGGAACCTTCAACTGCAAAACAGCAGCGTTCGGTAGGCACCAAAGGGAAGAAACACGCAGAGCCTTGCAAAAAGACGCCTCAAAACTTGAAATCAGGCCGAGCAAAACAAGCAACACTTTGTCGTCTGTACGGGTGTAGGAGCTTCGCGCTTGCGGGTCATCCGAAATACCGACAACCCTAAGGCCCCAAAGTAGTTCCTTTTGGGGGCTCATATATAGAATCCTATAAGGTAATCCCCAAAAGGAAGTACTTTGGAGCCCTTCAGGCTTTCCCATCCTCCCCGCAGGCTGTGAGCAGCCACAAAAAGAACAACACCTAAGCCTCATGTTTTGCGAGGGGTCTACATTGTAATGTTCCTGAACTAATAAAATAGAAACTTTCCGCCCGCCCGC